TCTCTCTCTCTCTCTCTCTCTCTCTCTCTCTCTCACAGACCACACCACCCCCATTTATTCACCTCCTGTTCCTACCTTGCTTTTATCCAAGCCCTACACAGATTTAACCCTAAACCTCTTCTCTCTCTCTCTCTCTCTCTCAGTTAATTTGTTGCTTCTTGGGTCTCTACTGTTTTTTTTTTTTTAAATTTCATTTTCAAGGCTTCTGTTTCAATTTGGTGGATGACTTCATGGTGACAGGATGTGCATTTTCATCACCATGAATAATCCAGTTTATCTTCTCTTCAAAGCCACCAGAGCCATTATGCTTCTGCATTTTCTTCTTCTCTCTCCAGCCTCTTGTTTTAGCACTCATTCTCTCCGGGTAAGAACAAATTATTTAACCCTTCAAGTTCAACTAATCTTCAATTTACTACAAAATATATTTCCTAATTTCTTTGATTAAATTGCACTTGTTGTGCTCATTCTGCAGGGCCTTTTATTTGAGGAGAAAACCAGGCTGGGATCCACGCCGCCCAGCTGCCACAACAAGTGCAACCAGTGCCATCCATGCATGGCGGTCCAGGTGCCTACAATACCCAGCCACGATCGGGTCGAACCGGGCATGGCCCGATCCTTTCCAATGATGTTCTTCGATCCATCTCATCCGGGTTCCAACAACAAGTACTCCAATTACAAGCCTCTGGGTTGGAAATGCTACTGTGGTGATCACTTCTTCAACCCTTGAGCTACTTCAAGTTCCATGGGGAAATTTCATGCCAAAATGGAGCTGGGTTTCGTTTAGATTTGTAAACTACAATTGATTTGTGATTTTTCAGTTGTGATTTGGGATTTTTGTAATTTTGTTTCAGGGGAGAGGGCATTAATTCTTTAGAAACAAATAGGAGAAAAACTTGTATATCACGGAGATAGCACTGTTTTGTTATTCTCAACGAATTATGTTTCGACACTTGTGATAAATTTTTCACACGACAAAAGGCGAATATTTGAGAACAGCAAAACAATGTTATCCCATGTACGCGTTCTTATCCACAAACAGGAATGTGTCTGGTGTTGTTGTCACCATTAAATCTCTACACTTAGAAATATTATATTATACAATGTACATAAATTTGTAACAAACTTCTGAATCCTGATCTTGCTTTTAGCATGCATTCATTTCTGTGATGAGCTTTTCTTGTTTTTTTTTTTTTTTTTCTTCTTCTTTTAATTCAATTATTCTGTATTGGTCCTTCTATTTGACTATGGAAAAATAATTAATTTGGCATTATTACAAGTATCACCCAGATATTTTTTTTTTATAATAGTCTAAAATTAAATTAATTTATAAGTAAAAGGAATTCAAAATGACAAATTTCATCAAAATAATTACAAAGTAAAATTAAAATAAATGCCACCGAGCTGAAATTATGAACCACAAAATAATTACAAGACCTGTGAACAGCTTTTATGAAATTTATTTAAAATATTATTTTTGGATTTTCCTTATCTCTTGGGGGTACATGGCCCATCACCATATATACGATACATCACTCTCTGCTCCACTGGGCCACTCTCGTATCTTTTGGTTACTGTAACAATCTCCATCAAACTGACCAAAATGCCTCAGCATTCAAGATATGATGTGTGACAGTAGAAGGTTATTGTGGTGATTATAATAAATTCTTTTTTTTTTTTAAATTTAATTTTTTTCTGTGCCCTTGCAACCTTCTCCCTGCACCTGCACAACGCAACCGTACCCTAGCTAGAGCTAGCTACGCAGAAGTTAAATGCCAACCTTGTGGTTTGTTCCCTAAATTCTAGAATTGGAGACAATAGGCTAAAAGGCCTTGTCCAAGTCAGGTTTTCAGGCAATGCCAAACAGATTGTAGGTCAATCGACAAGGGTCAACTGACTGGCCTATATAAAGAGTATCCGATGCTGTGGGAAATTAATGTTTTCTTTTCTTTTTTGGCTCCACAAGTGTTCATAAGTGACAAACTAGATTCATAAATACCCTTTCTGCCAAATTTAGCTAGAATAACAAGCTCAATAACACTCTAGAGCTGCAACATTGTATGGGATTTGGTAACATGACATGAACACAAACGAAAAATTGAGTGTTCAAGTTGATAACAAATAAACCCGTTAAGAAATAGAAAAAATTTGTTTTATTTTACTCATTAAGCTCTTAATTCTATAATTTGTGTTGAAATTTGAGTAGGAAAAGTTAGTCCCAAATTGAAAAGTCACAACTTTCCATCACTCTTTATAATAGTTGAGATCCTAAACCCTTGTGTCGTGTTATTTTTTTGGGTCAAAGGAATGAACATGTCATTACCATAGAGACTTACATAAAAGCTCAATACAAAAGTCAGAAAATAAAAAACAATGGCTCAACCAAACAAAATAAAAGCCCAATTTAAAATACAAATAATTTAGGCCCAAAACACAAACCCTAGAAACAACAAGCAGTCACCGCCACCTAATCTACCTTCACCGCTGCAGCCAGAAGAAGAAGAAGGTTTAGGGGAACCAACAAGGGGGAGGGGGAGAGAAATGGACTGATGGGGGGTGAGTGTATGAGAGGAAAAAAGGGTAAGAGAGGTGTAATGGCTGAAGAGTAGTGGTGGAGGAGATCTGGGCCTACATCTGGAAAATCAAGAGAGGAAGGGCAAACCAAAACAAACAGAAAAAGAGAGAAAGAAAAGCCACATTAGAGAATGTCAGAGAAGCCACACTAGAGGTGGTAGAGTTGCCGCCTCGAAGGGCGGCGGCACAGCCACCAGCACCTCAGAAGAGGGTGGTGGGGAAGGAGAGAAGTTCTAGAGAGAAGGGGGAGCCTCTCTCTTTAAAGCTCTCTCGGTGGCCAGTTCAGTTTGGTTGTGTGTCATGTTATTACCCATCATTTTTACAAATTGCATTCAGGCTTGGGTTTTTCCACTTGTTAACTTAACGAGTCATGTTCATGGTTGAATTTTTCCACTCGTTAGGTTTTACTTTAAGATGGAATAGGCGGCACAGCCACCAGCACCTCAGAAGAGGGTGGTGGGGAAGGAGAGAAGTTCTAGAGAGAAGGAGGAGCCTCTCTCTTTAAAGCTCTCTCGGTGGCCAGTTCAGTTTGGTTGTGTGTCATGTTATTACCCATCATTTTAACAATTTGCATTCAGGCTTGGGTTTTTCCACTTGTTAACTTAATGAGTCATGTTCATGGTTGAATTTTTCCACTCGTTAAGTTTTACTTTAAGATGGAATAAAAAACAGACATACGTAATAAACAAATAGAAACACTATTGTAGACACATTTGTACATACTAGTATACTACACAACAGTTTACTTCCTTTTGTTTCATTTTCTGTGATCAAACATGGCATCGGGCACATAAGAAGCCCACATCCCAGAAAGAGGTCACTTCAAAAGAAAATTGATCCATGACCAATTTAAATGAAAGTTTTGTCAGGATGTGAAAAAAGAAAGGTCATATTCATTAATTTGCGAATTTGAAGACTAGAATGAGAATTTTTAAAAACTGCAGGGACCACTTGCGATAAAACTTGTTTCTTATTTATTCCGAATAGTTTTGAAAGGCGACAAAAAGCAATAAAATTTGAAGGGTTCATAACGGTCGTGCTTCACCCGCTAAATTACGACGACAGCCCAAAGCCACAGGAACCCAACCCAAACTCAACCAGCAACCCAAGCCAGCCGGCCATGGCGTGCACGATACCTCTCTCTCCTTCTTCCTCCTCTTGTTCTTTTCTACTCTCCCACACAACCATTTTCCGTTTCAGAAGCCCCATACATCTTTCGACCTCCTCCTCACGAAGACGACTCTCAGTCTCAGTCTCTGCTTCTTCTTCTTCTTCTCTCCAAGCTCTAATTTTCGACTGCGACGGGGTAATCCTCGAGTCTGAACACTTGCACCGCCAAGCATACAACGAGGCCTTCGAGCATTTCAATGTTCGTTGCTCTTCCTCTGCCTCTCAGCCCCTCAATTGGGACCTCCACTTCTACGATCAGCTCCAGAACCAAATCGGCGGTGGAAAACCTAAAATGCGATGGTCCCTTGCTCTCTCCTCTTTTTTTTTTTTTTTTTTTTTTCTCTTCTAGATTTTCTAAAAAGATTAAAAATTTGGGTTTGTTTTTTCTTTAGTTATATTGGGGGTTTTGGATTGTTTTAGGTACTTTAAGGAGCATGGGTGGCCGTCATCCACGATCTTCGAGAAGCCTCCGGAAGATGATGAGGGCCGGGCCAAGATCATCGATACTCTTCAGGTTTTCAATTTGCTTCTTCCGGTTGTTCGGCTTCTGAGAAAATGAAAGAAAAGTATATCATTTTGCAAATTGAGTGTCAACTTATTTTTACCCCATTTTTAGTTGCTAAAATATTGGCATACTATTTGGTTTTAAACTAATTAGAAAGTTTTCAGCTTATCTTAGAAAATCACACTGTCACTGCACAGAGGTTGCAGTGCTTGAGAGATATCCTTTCTTCATCAATTTTTTGCAATCTGAAATTTTGGACATACTTTTTTCGCAGTATGTTGATCCTTTTATGGTCTTGTAGGATTGGAAAACTGAAAGGTACAAAGAAATTATCAAATCCGGAACTGTAAGGAGACATTTATACTTGCTGCATTGTTGTTTTCTTTATTTTCTTATCACTGTCAGTTATGTTGAATAGATTGTTCTGTATTCTTTTGTGTTTTTCTTTTGTACTAGGTGGAACCAAGACCAGGAGTTTTAAGATTAATGGACGAGGCTAAGGCTGCTGTAAGCTAATATTACCCTTGAAAATTCAATTTCTTTTCACGGTACTTTAAGTCCACCTAATTTATATGTGTTTCCTTGATCAACAGCTTAGTTTTATGAGCATCTCTTTACATCTTATGAATGGATTTCTTTATGATTTGTTTCTCTTCCACTTTGTTTAGTATCTGTTCTGTTGCATTGGAGCGCAATTTTTATGCTTGTAAGAGTGATTCCCTCTCTATTGTTGCAGGGGAAAAAGCTTGCTGTTTGCTCTGCAGCAACTAAAAGTTCAGTAATATTATGTCTTGAGAACCTTATAGGAATTGTAAGCTTTTTTCTGTGACATTGTTATTACAGTTAGAACTCATATTTGCTTCTTTGTTTCTACAACATGCGCTCATCAATTTATTCTACCTTATTGTAGGAGCGCTTTCAAGGTCTTGATTGCTTCCTTGCTGGTATGTTGATTACTTTTGAATTGGAACATCCCTATAGAATTTGTTTTGGTTGAATGTTAAGTGAGACGCGTTGTGTCTGCTTCTGCTATGTGCATAGGAGAATTTCAATTACGCATCAGTGACATAGATTAATTTTCACTCCCTCCATTGTATGATAATTTATGGTGCATCGATGCCCGTGAGCTTCTATAAATCCCATTCTGTTTATGGATAAATTTAACTGCAAGTCAAGTCTTTCCCTCCATTTTTTATTGTTATTGTTCTGGTCCTTTTCATTTGTTTTAGTATTAAAAAGAATTTCTCGTTGATCGAATCAGATTGAACTAGTTTTGTTTTTTCAAGAAAAATTAGACGTTTTAATTCATATTTCTGTGATTTTTGTTTACAGGTGATGATGTGAAGGAAAAGAAGCCCGATCCTTCAATTTATCTTACAGCTTCCAAGGTCTGTAATCTAACATCTTAAATCTGAACCTGCAAATGTGAATGCAGTGGGGTTTTTACCATCAAAACCGTAACTTGTTATGCCTTACAGAAACTCGGTATCCCAGAAAAAGATTGTTTGGTTGTGGAGGACAGTGTCATTGGGCTACAGGTAAATCTTGTTTTTCGTTTTCTTTTTCTGTAATAATCAGTTCCTTTAAGCGTTGTATTTGAAGAGGAAGATCGGAACATTGGAGGCCATGGAATAATATTTCATGAATCCAATTGGCTTATGATTAAACAATAGTAAGAATTACTGATGCACAGAAAACTTCAGACAATAAATCCAATTCATCTATTTTGTCATTACTCAATAAATCCAATTAACTAAACATGGTTTACTTATTATGAGAATGAAAATTTGTCTCTGTAGGCAGCAACAAAAGCTGGGATGTCATGTGTGATTACCTACACATCTTCAACAGCTGACCAGGTGAGGCCTCTTACTCTGTGGCTATCTTAGATGAAGGATTTCATTGAGATGATCTACAATAGCTGGCAAATGACAGCCATAACTGCATTATGTGATGATTGAGCCTTTTCTATTTTCATATTCAATTAGGATTTTAAAGATGCAATAGCAACCTATCCTGACTTAAGCAATATAAGGTATGTGTGAACCATTTTCTTCACGAGCGTATAAATACTTTTCGTTAAACTGTTCGGTGTGCTTACATACGGTTCATACAATCCTTGCAGACTGAAAGACTTGGAATTATTACTTCAAAATGCTGTCATTGCCAATTAAGAAAGTTCTTGCACTTGGATTGTTAAGGAGTGAAGCCATCTGCCATTGTATTTTTGTTGAATTTTTCATTCACAAATGGCTCTATATGATGTATTCATTAACAGCTTACATGTACATATGTAAAATAACAAACATTTCTACCATAAAAAGCTAAGGCTCTAGCTCACATGGACGAATCCAGTTTTATTTTTTGTAGCAATCGTATGCCTTCTGTAACAAATTAAAAGGATGCACTCTTTTTCTTATCCATCAATCTCTTTGTGATGGATGTGATGTAGAACCAAAGCAGTACTTTACAGGCAAGAGAAATGGAGAGGAGCTAGAAAATAAAGAGAATAGAAGACAAGGCTGAGCAATTTAGCTTAATCACTAGCTCTTTAGAGCAGTTCCAGCAGTTGCCCCTTGCCATGGCAGGGGGGGGAGGGGGGGGCTACTATTCATGTGAATAGTGACTGCCCTTGCAAAAAGCAATGTTGGTTTCCAGCAGTTGCCCTGGCAAAGGGCAAATACTATTCATTTTTTGGTTTTTTTAACAAATTTGTTTACTTAAATAATTAATTTGGACAATATTTTCGGATAAGATTTTTGGGTTCCTACATGTCAATAGTATTCATATCTCATAATCAGATAAAATTTTCGGATAAGATTTTCGGTTTCAAATTTCAGATAAATTTCAAATTTCAAAATTCAAATTTCAATGAAATTTCATTTGAATTTCAAATTTCAGATAAATTTCAAATTTCATATAAATTTCATCTGAATTTCAAATTTTAGATAAGATTTTCACCCTCTAAAATTGTGCCATGTGTCATCTTTATCGGCCAAAGTTTTTCTATAAAACTAGAGCCTCAGCTCATACCTCTCACACCATATCTTCTCTTTATTTTCATTTATCAGATTTTAGAATTCATACTCCAATGACAGACATGAACGAGGTCTTGGAGAGGCAAATACATGAATTTAGAGAAAGAAGGTGTAGACAAGCTGCATGCAAAAGGGCACAAGCAGAACTGGATATGCAAATTGTCACAGCAGTGGCTATGCATGATGAAGAAAACCAGAGCCGCCGTGGTTCACGAGAAGGTCGTGGCCCGAATGTGGACAGACATAGACATTCTCGGGGTATATAAGAATCTTTTGGAAGATTATTTTATCCCAAATTCTCTGTACTCTAATGTTGATTTTGGAAGGAGATATAGAATGCAACCTCATTTGTTCAATAAAGTCATGCATGATATTTGCAATTATGATGAATATTTTGTTCAAAAGACAAATACTGCTAGAAATTTGGGACTGCTTCCTGAGCAAAAGTTCACAGCTGTTATACGAATGTTGGCGTATGACTCATCTGCTAATCAAGTTGATGAGATTGCTCGGATGGGGAAGTCCACTGCTTTGGAGAGCTTGGTGAGATTTTGTGATGCAGTCGAAACTCTGTACACTAGGGACTATCTGCGCAAACCTACGCCCAGGGACCTCCAACGGCTTCTACAAAAAGCCGAAACTTGAGGATTTCCAGGAATAATTGGTAGCATCGACTACATGCACTAGCAGAAAAAAGAATTGCTCGACTGCATGGCAAGGAGATTATGGGAATCGGAAAGGCCAAACAAGCATCATCCTTGAAGCCGTTGCTGGTTTTGATACGTGGGTTTGGCATGCTTTCTTCGGAGTTGCCAAATCTCAAAATGACTTGAACGTCCTGGGTCAATCCTCGGTGTTCAATGATGTTTTGAGAGGTGAAGCCCATCACCAATCAAATTAACAATACCGTCTACCAAAATGGGTATTATCTAGCTAACAGCATCTATCCGCGGTGGACCACATTTGTCAAGTCAATTCTGCATCCCCGATCCCATAAGCAAAAATTATTTGCTACCTATCAAGAGGGGTACAGAAAATATGTGGAGAGGTGCTTTGGTATCCTCCAAGCCCGGTGGGCTATTATTAGGGGTGCAACACGTCTGTTTGATGAGGAGCTGATGAGGAGCATAATGATGACATGCATCATCCTCCATAACATGATTGTGGAAGATGAGTATGATTATCTAGCTGAAGACGTGTACGAACCGGATCCAATGAACACGGCCTTGACACAAATTTACGAAAAACCCATGGGGCCAAATGGAGAACCAGTGCAGCATGAACTGTTGGTTAGGGACGGTCATGTAATGACCCGTATGATTGATCGATATACGGAGATGCAATCGTCTTATATTCATGAACGACGTCAAGTTGACTTGATGGAGCATTTATGGGCGGTGAAAGGCAATGACGGTGAATGAAGTGAAGTGAAGAAGTTTGTTTTATTTATTATATTTATGTTTTATTTTTTGTTATGCTTTCTTTGTTTAATGCTTTGGTTGTGGTTTGTTTATTTTTAATGCTTTGGATGTGGTTTGTTTATTTTTAATGCTTTGGATGTGGTTTGTTTTTTTATGTATGGAATGTTTTGAATAAAAAGGTATTTTATTGAATGCATGAATTACAACTAATTTTCACAATAAAACATTAAAATACAATGAAAATAAAATACATGAATTACAATTAATTTTCAAAATAAAACATTAAAATACAATGAAAATGAAAGGCAAGCAAACTAACTTAATGGTTTTGATCATTTAACCAATCTGTGTTGCTACGTCTATCGTCACGAAAAAGTCTTCGTTTCATAATATCCCTTCGTTCTAGCTTCCAAAATTGTTTTGTTTCAGGGGACATATGACTTGTATCCATGGCCATGGTTTCCCGATCCTGCTTCAGTATGTTTTGCGTGCATACATACTCCCTTTCTTTTACACATTCCGCTTGAAATATCCTCTCATCTTCTCGGTTTCTCTTCTCAATTTCAAGCCTTATGTCACTTTGCCTTGCAATTTCCTCCAAAAAATTTAGATGAATTACTAGTAGAATTACTCACTCTCTTCGCCTTCGCCGCCTTTCTCCCAATAGGCCTCG